CTATATTGTCGCAAATGAATGTATTTTATGGTTCGAAATTCTTGTTTATCACAGTTTAAATGAACCAGAGTCGTGAAATGAGGAATATCTTCCTGAACGCCCACAGGATTCCACAGGTTTGCATCAATGGTTTCATTTTCTCGAGCGTTGCGCGTCGTAAAGCAGATTTTAGAGAAGCGTAAAGGTGTTTAATCGCTCGACGCCAAATCTGTGCTCTGTGGATTTAAGGGGGGAGGGGGGGGGGAATTTCCCTGTTACACTATTCGAGTGCATAATGAGTTACTCGTAACAGGCGAGATTGCGCGTTGTCGCAATACAATCTGACCAATCTGGACCGTTTCTGGGGCAAAATGGGCGTCCAAATCTAGGAAAACTTTAAATCCGATTTTGGCAAAAATGATAGACACCAAAGTCTCTTAGTTTGGAGGAGCAAATATATCTTATTTATTTTTTAATTATAAAATTTTAAATTTCAAAAACTTTTATGAATAGTGGGTGGACGCTTATAATACTATAAATATAACCGTTATTTTTCGGTTCTTTTCCTGTTTTTGTGAAGAAGAAAATTTATAAAATATTTGTTGTATAGGAGTTGATTTCTATTATGCAATGCTATGATACTCGATAAATAATGGTTTAGAACTCGAATCGATGACCCAGTTAAAATGTTACATACCATGGAATTATTGACAGGGCATTGTTATATCGTAACGATTCATGCGACATATTCATGCCAATGTATGAATCATAGATATTAAAATTGATTGTCAAAACCCAATGAAATATTCTTGATTATGAATAGCTTCGTTCTTTGGTCGTTTATTTTAAACTATCATAATGTTCTTTAAATATTTTCTCGATAGTTTACGTGCTAGTTTGTAACCTGGATAAGTGAACGGTTCAAAGAAATTTTAAGGCATTTTTAATTTCTCCTACACATCCCAACCGTTTCTCGAGCAATTTAAATTCATCCTACTTTGAAGTCTGATTGAATAGTTAGACGATTCTTGTGCGTTCATTGTTTGTCATAGAATCGTGTCGAAGTCAACAATCGAGCAGACAGGCTCGATGCAACAACAATGAAGAAACAGGAGTTCGAGATAGCATTGAAGAGATGCACAGTGTAATCAGGACTGCGTTTAATAGAAGATAATTTAGTACCATAACGTGATAACGACCAGAAATACAATTCTATGTCGTACAAAGTACTCTCATCGACGAAAGGATTTCTTGGATTTAAATACGATCAAATAAAATGTAAAAATACTCAACTTTGTTAAAATTAGACTAAAATACAAGTGTTTACGCTCTATCTAAACTGTATTAACTTAAAGTCAAACGTTATAATTTTTACTAATAATATTAGCTCCAAACCTTGTTAAAAAGATATATAAATTATTTTTAATCAGTTTCAGAGTGTTAATTTCATGATAATCGTCTGTTTTTAACTATGCTATATTAATTCGTAACTTTTGTATGTATAAACGGAGATTATAAATATTTTAGAATTTAACGTTGGAAGCTAATTTAATTAAGGGCGTAGTAGACTGTTCCTTTGAAATGATAATGGCTCCATGACCTTCGTCATAGTACAAGCGATCATGGCTATAAATTTCAGGATTGTATATACAGTAATTGGTACAATAGGGTTGTAAGGGACGCATAACAAGCCATGTTCCTTAATCCCTCCTTCCTAGTGTTGGTTCTATACTGGGTGGTTCGATATATACGATATAATTGAGCACTCTGATGCTCAAAATTGACCGAAATTTTGAACGAAACAAAGGATCTCTAAAATATAGCTGAAGATCCGCGGAGAAATTACTCTGAAACGTTTCGAGGTGGTGGGGGAAAACAATCGATGAGATTTGCAGGCGCCGAAAAGAACATTTGGCAAAGTTGCCAGGCTCCGAGTGCTTTCGCCCCGGAACGGAAGAGCTTTTCGAATCCTTTCGCGAGATCTATGTAGAGAATGTATTCTGAATATTTTGACCCTTCACCGTCTCGTATTGATTCGTTGAAAAATTCTAGACTTCCCTGCTCCGATTACGACTGCGAACCATTCTCCGGGATTTATAACAGAACAGAAAATAGCAGCCTCGTATATATTAAATTCAATTCTCGCGTAACATTGAAACTTCATGTTCATTAATTCCATTATTCTAAAAACCGAAACGGCATTTGTCGTTTAAATAATTTAGTTAATAGTTTAATTAGAGAAAATAAAGAATTTTGTAAAATAAGAATCCATAAATAGAAATAGAAATTTCTATTTTTGTGTATAAAACTTCTTCCAAAATTGCGTTATTTTAGAAATATTTTGTCTTGTTAAGAGCGCTTCTTCTACCGCATATTATTAATTTCAAAATCACTAGTGGAGCTGTTGTTAAAACGTAAAAAATTATCTATATTAAAATGAGTAAGAAATTCTGGATAGAAAAATGATTGTCTTGTAAAATATTTTACCGATACGAACACAATGTACAGTTTTCCATACACGACACACGCACACGTAATACTAACATCGTACACTACACGAGTTCCCTTGCAATTCCGGAATATACAAACAGTGTCGTCTGTATTTAATCATTGAACGCCGATAGCCCAAGCAGTTGCATAAAAATTATTACTGTATATTGCGCTAGTTGTGCGACGTTCTTGTGTATTATCGTTGCTTCAGAAATCTCTGTCGATACTTTTGTATGTATGAAGTTATGCTTGTGTGCACCGTTTACGTGCATACAAATGTGTTCTGAATGTGCAACGTTCAAGAGATTTAAACAATTAGCGAACATCAATACCGTGCAAAAGTGTGAAGCTCGAACTTGAAATATAAAAAGTACAGTTGCCAATTTCCATTTGTTTACCGAACTTTTTAAATATTCCTTTGACAATGGCCTTCTCACACGACTAAGAAACCTCGATCCTCAATGTTTTTGATAATTACTTAAATCTAAACATGTTGTTCTTTATTTTTTTTTTCATTTGTTTATTATTTTATTTATTTACCGTATAGACCCTTTAATACAGAGAACAATAGTCGTTAGAGAACACTCAGGTAAAGGAAATTTTGAGAAAAGGTAGCTAAACAAAGAAAATATAATCGGTACAAAATTGCAAAAATTCTTTTTTAAGGGATAGATAGAAAATTATTATTATTACTTGGATATTTATGTTTGAAAGACGAGGTTGTTAATTATATCTCTCCTGATTATTCACTGTAATACAGAAACCAATCTAGCAGGAAAGTTAATATCAATTAAAAATTTTTTAGAAAATTGATATGGATGATTTTTCTTTTTCTTTCAACTTTCATTATTTATTTGAATATTTGTGCTTGCAAGATGGGGTTGTTAATTATATCCCTTGTAATTGTTCACTGTAATAGAGAAATCCATCCTGCAGGAAAATTAATATCAGTCAAATATTTGCTAAAAAATTAATATGGATGATTTTTCTTTTTCTTTTCGTTTTTTTTATTTATTTGAATATTTGTGCTTGCAAGATGGGGTTGTTAATTATATACCTTCTAATTGTTCACTGTAATAGAGAAATCCATCCTGCAGGAAAATTAATATCAATTAAATATTATTTAGAAAATTGGAATGAATGATTTTTCTTCTCCTTTCAGTTTCCATTATTTGTTTCAATATTTGTACCTGCAAGATGGGGTTGTCAATTATATCTCTTCTGATTGTTCGCTGTAATAGAGAGATCCATCCAGCAGGAATTCGTATGAATAATGTTGATGTTCCCTTTTGTTGTTAAATTTAATAAAATTGTGTAACTATCGAGGAAGATGAACACGAATATTTTGCACGGTATTGCGCATCCAAGTTACCGCTTAAATTCGAAGCATTTGCTTTAAATCGCTTAGAGAAAAAGCTCGCGCAAAAGAGATCAAATCTGAACGCTGAGAAATGATCGAAATTATAGATTATGTACGATCCTCGATATCTCGTCACGGTGCTTGGTTCGTTAAGTGTGTGTACAATCGGAGAATCGGAAATGAGAACATCAGGAGCACGTTGATTGACTAATTACCTGGCGAGACCATTCGTTTCTCCAACTAATTAGGACTCTGCTTAGCGATTAGTTTGATTTTTTCAGTGTCGACTTTGTTTGTTCGTCATGCTGCACAATAGTTGAAAGCGAAGGCATAGTTGAAGAGGACAATTCCGCTGATAGTTCATTCTAGATACTTTCCGGGCCTTCATCATTGGATGGTCCATTTTCATCCAGAACTATTATTAGTGTTTTGCTCCCGTTGCGCTTTTGCGAACACTAAGTGCATCACGAGACATGCACTTTAAACTTTCATTTCAGAATTTATTGTTCGTACTTAGCCCGTAATCGCCAACGTGCAGCCAACCCAACATTTTTTACGCTCCTTCATCGCAATTTTTACACACAATGTAAAATTATACTAAAATATATGATTAATAATATAATTATTCAATTCGAAACGATTTTAATACGATTTTTCATTTTTTAGATGCTTCTATGTGCATTATTCTAAAAAATCTAGATTTCGAAATCGGTGACGCCATTTTGAAATCATATACAGAATCGGGGAAAACTCTTGTAATAATAGTTTTGACGATACAAATAAATTAATAATATGTTAATTCGAATGAATCTTAGTTTCGAACATTCCCAGCACAATTATAAAAATAATTAAAAATTCAAGATCCACGTTAAAGTTCTTTCTTGTATACTTTCTATTAATCTACATTATTATAACAAATTGTAGAACTTAGATTTCTCACAAAGCTTTTTAATTTTTACGTAAATAAAATTTGGCGATATCGTGAGACAGAACAGTATTATTTTTAATTTTACACGATGTGTAATTGCAAAAGAAAATGAAGAATTCCATTTGTCCTGGCTGCACGTTTGTCGTTAAAAAGTAAATTACGTGGGCATGAAAATTACTAATTTAATAAAAACTTCGGTAAAGGAAGACGCTAATGCGGGTGTTTTTTTTTTGTTTCGCGTAGGTCGATCTAAGGCACATGGACGAGAAATCGAAAAGCAACGTTGTGGACGTCGGAGTTGATCTTTCCGAATTCTACATGTCTGTAGAATGGGACATTCTAGAAGTGCCTGCTGTAAGGCGAGTATGCTTATTCATGCGTGAAGATTAGTATATCTACTTTTTCATTGAATTTAAAAAATGCAAGAATTTACAAAAAAGAATTGATACGACATTTATTCATGCGTGAAAATTAGTATATCTATTCTTACTCCCATTAAATTTAAAAAATGCAAGAATTTACAAAAAGAACAAATTGTTGGACATATAAAGTTAGCAACTTAGCAATGTTAATTAAGATTGAAGTAAATTTAAATAACATTAGGAACAATATAAGTCGTTGGGATCTTGCATTTTAATTTTGCAAAATTTGTACTTTACTGAAAATACTCTATCAATACAATTGATAATCAACTTTCTATACAGGGTGTTCGGCCACCTCTAGCAAAAATGTTAATGAGCGATAGTAGCGGCCAAAATAAGACGAAAATCAAGAATACCAATTTGTTGATGGAAGCTTCGTTAAAAAGTTATTAACGTTTAAAGTGCCGCCCTTACTGAATTTTTTTCTCGAAAATGCGCAAGATTTCGGGGGTATGTCTATTCACCAAAAATGACTGTAATTGAACCCTACAACCGAAAATAATTTTTCCACAACGATTTGCAATTTTTTAATTTTCTCGAATAATTTCACACCTTCTCTATTTTTTTTCTCGAAAGTGGGCAGGATTTCGTGGGTATGTCTAATGACAAAAACTGATTGTAATTGACCCCCGCAACCGAAAATAATTTTTCCACAACGATTTGCAATTTTTTTTCTCCGTTGAAAAATTTAGGCACCTAATTGGATTTTCAGTAAGGAATTTTTTTCTCGAAAGTGCGTACAATTTCGGAGGTATGTGTAATGATAAAAAATGATTGTAATTGATCCCCGCAACCGAAAATAATTTTTTTAGAACGATTTGAAAAATTTTTTTTCGCCGAAAAATTTCAGCACCTACTCGATTTTTTTTCTCGAAAGTAGATAGGAATTCGGAGGTATGTGTACTCACCAAAAATGATTGTAGTTGACCCCCGCAACCGAAAATAATTTTTCCAGAACGATTTGAAATTTTTGAATTTAATTGTTAATAACTTTTTAACGAAGCTTCCATCAACAAATTAGTATTCTTGATTTTCGTCTTATTTTGGCCTCTACTATCGCTCATTAAAATTTTTGCTAGAGGTGGCCGAACACCCTGTATATTCCGTGCCTTGAATGAAAACTAAAATACCGTTTCGACGAGTATGAATGTTCATTTCACGGAAATGTAAAGTCACGGAAAATGTTTAATTCGTTCCTGTAGGTTAGTCAACGGAAATTAATCGCTTTCGTTGCTCTTTTTTTACACAGAAATGAAAAATTTTACACCTGCTGCGATGAGCCGTACCTGGATATTACCTTTAATATAACGATGAGGAGAAAAACTCTTTTCTACACTGTAAACATTATTATTCCGTGCATGGGAATTTCCTTCCTTACGGTGCTGACGTTCTATCTACCCAGCGACAGTGGAGAAAAGGTGAGCAAAAATCACTAAATTTTCTAAGAAATTCCGATCCTAACTAGCAATCCTGACTAGAAACATTTTTAAATGCATCATTCCGAAAGATATAATCCTTTTTATTCGTTGAAACCTACCCCTCGTTTATTTATTTATTTTTTCCACACATAGACGAATTACATTATTTATAAAATACCGATTACGATTATTCGGAACGATGGTTTTTAAATTGCTGATCAAAATAAATTTCACGTCCGTCTTTTATCGGCACGAACGTTCGAAAGATCGACCAATCGTGGGACCCGGACCCATAAAACCGCAACGGCCGTTAATTAAAATCGGTAGAGGATGGGATTCGCCGCAACGCAATTAATCCCTTTGTCTGACACGGAAATGGTAAATGTCCGTAGACTGCCTTAAACTCTGTCGATTGTCAATTCACGTGAAAGAAAACCGCAGATCTCGATCTGGATCCACGAGTCAAAAATTTCAAATCTTATATCTTCGAATACTAACGAAGAAGCATAGATTTTAATATTACCTGTGATTTTTACCGTAATTCGAAAATGTATTCTTTTAAAAAAATTAGGATAATCAGAAGATCGATTAGTTTAACAGCGATAATTACGTACTTGTTGTCCGAGTTGTCATAGTTCGCGTTCCTGCGTGGTGAATGAACCGCCGCAACGAATATAAATCCGCCCGGAGAAACTTTGAATTTATGGCGATCGTTAATCATCCTGAAGAAAGTTTCGCTCGGATAACTGTGTTTCCACTTTATCACGAAATGCATGACGTCTAGGAATGTAAGTTTTATTGAACCACAGTTTGTTATTTTATGGGATCTCCCACTGTGACTCGCAACACCATAAATCCGATTGATTTCGTGTCAGGATTGATGAATATCTCACTTTCCCTTTTCCGCAAAAATTATTTCGTTTACAACCGAATCTAAATCTTACTATTTCGCGTTCCAGCATTTCTCTATTTATCGTCATCGGTTCTTTACTTGAAATTTTCACATTACAATATTTGAGAGTTTCACAGCCTCTCACGTAGCGATATAAAATCTGACAAACGGTTCAATAGTTGCGCTAATGTTACGAAACATGATTCGACACAATTCAACATAAATTTCTAATACATAATATTTGTAAATTCCTGTAACTTCAACTATAGAATTGACTATGAGGTCCCTTAAGGGGACAGTCCCATGCGAGACGTTAAAAATATAAATTTTTTTTTATTTCATTCTTTGAAAGCACACAGAGTGTTCGACCACTCCCGGGGAAAAATTTTAATGGAAGATTCTAGAGGCCAAAATAAGACGAAAATCAAGAATATCAATTTTGTGATTGAGGCTTCGTTAAAAAGTTATTAAAAAATTAAATTAAAAAATATCAAATCGTTCTGGAAAAATTATTTTCGGTTGCGGGGGTCGACTATAATCCTTTTTGGTCATTACACGTACCCCCGAAATCCTATGCATTTTCGAGAAAAAAATTCTTTCCCGAAAATCTAATCTGAGGCCAAAAATGCTACCCTGAAATTTCATGCGTATCTTTAAAATAACATAACTTCTGAATGGATTGGACGATTTTAATGTTCCAAACGGCAAACAACGCCGTTCTAGTAAAGAATATGTAAAAATTCTAACAACATTAAAAAAGTTATTCTTTGACCCCGTAAAGTTAGAAAACCCCCTATAAAAATGGCCCAATTTTCAAACAGCCATAACTCCTCCTGCAATAGTGAATATATTACAATGAAACTTTTTTCAGATGTAGTGCGCATGGGTACATATAAAGAAGTATTAGACAACTTTTCTGAAGGGTGTCAAACAAAATTACTAAAAATCAAAAACGAATTTTTAATGAAAGTCTACAGGTATCTAAATTTTTCGGCGAAAAAAGAATTTCAAATCGTTCTAAAAAAATTATTGTTAGTTTCGGGGGTCAATTACAATCATTTTTTGTGAACAGACACACCCTCGAATTCCTATCCACTTTCGAGAAAAAATTCCATACCGAAAATATAATCTGAGGCCTGACATAGTTCTCCGAAATTTCATGCGTATCTTTAAAATGTCATAACTTCTGAATGGATCGGCGGATTTTAAAGTTTCAACATTGAAACAACGAGTATTTTGATCCAGAATATGTAGAATTTCCAAAAATATCCGAAAATGTGTCCCTTAACCCCGTAAAATGAGAAAAAAGTGGTTCTATTTTCAAACGGCGATAACTCCTATAATAATGAACGTACCTACGAATGGGTACCTACAAAAAAGTGTTAGACAACATTTTCGTATAGTGTCAAATAAATTTATTAAAAATTGAAAACGAATTTTTAAGAGAAATCGATAAGGGGGTAGGTGCGTAAATTTTTCGACGAAAAACAAAATTTCAAATCGTTCTAGAAAAATTATTTTTGGTTGCAGGGGACAATTACAATCATTTTTGGTAAATAGATATAGCCCCTAAATCTTGCGTATTTTCGAGAAAAAAATTCAGTACGGGCGGAAATTTTTAACGAAGCCTCCACCAACAAATTTGTATTCTTGATTTTCGTCTTATATTGGCCTCTAGAATCTCCCAGTAAAATTTTTCCCGGGGGTGGCCGAACACCCTGTATATGTAAGAATGTAAAATTTTGAGAGATAAATGTCAAGTATTATGGATGGTAGAACATTTTTTGTATAATCCTCACGGTAATTAGCGGAGTTATTGCTTCGGGTGATTACCTTGTATAGTCCAGACATTACTGTTTCGAAAGTTTTACGACAGGTTTAAGAGATACCTGCTCCTTTTAAAAGTCAAAATTCTAGCGTTTGTGCTATCTGGATGCTAATAACATCCTGGAAGAGATTTTAATATGGAGCTGGAATTGATTAATATGATCTTGTGACTTTAAATGCGTTTCTCTCGAAATTTTATTTTCACTGGTGTAGATAAAATCTCAAAAATTATACGTTAGATTGCTTTGAAATTTTTACACGTTGTTCCACATACTAATAGCTCTCGCCCGTACTAAAATTATATTTCTACAATGAGTATATCATACACTTTTATTAAAAAGTGCGTGGAAAAAATGACAAAATTTTGCAATTTTTAATTTAAGTTTTCGCAATTTTGCCAATTTTCAACATATATATAAATTAATTATTTTACTACGGACGATAACAAGAAACCTACCGAATAAAAATCCGTTTGGTTCTTTTGGTTTAGCCAACCTTGAACAATCATCTACACCAGTGTTTAAACACATGTTTACTATGGGTGTAATAAAAACTTGAAAAATCACTAATAATTATTGAAAAATTTATTTTGTATTCCCAAAAGATAGTTAAGTAAATTGCGAAAATAAATTATGGCGTTAGATGTAACATTTAATTGAAAAAAATTAATAAAGATGGTTAAATTTTTCAACCGTAGGCGTAAGACTGCCCCCTTAAATCTAGTGTCAGCGAAAGAAGTTAGATTTATTTTCGTGTTCTGGATCGATCCGCCGGTCGCGAAGGAAAAATATCAATCGAATTCCCTGGCAAGCGATGAGGAAAAAAAGACAGATGAGTAACCGTGGCAACGCAATTAATTCCTTTATCCTCGTGAACGGGCGTGCTTACCTATACTTAGCGTCCGTAAAGCGGACGCGTGTGAAATATGCGCCGAATTAGTTCTCTTCCGCGCGGCTGTCGGCCTCGTTATTTTCCCTTATCTGTACCCCAGGAGCCGGGGTAGTTACTTTTGGCTCGATGGCGCGAACTATTTTTCATTTCCACCGCGACGTCTTGCTCTCCGTCGGTTCTTACGCCACCTTACACACTCGCCTGGCACATACACACACATACACACGCGTCATTTCATCCCTCGCAGAGTTATCTGCTTCTCTTTCTGCCTCCGCCTTTTGCTGGCGCACGAAAATCGCCCCGAGCCGAGGATCCCCTTTATGCCGGGAGCCCTCGATACGCGACTGAATAAATAGTGGAAAAGGGAACTGCGACGCGCAGTTTTCCGTCATCGATGCGCTTTTTCACCTTTGCTCTTTCGACAGACCCTCCACCACCACAAACCCGAACACACCGCGGAGAAAGCGACACGGTTTGTCGACGTTACCAGCGGTTTGTTAACGCTTTGCGCTCGACGCGTCCTGTTTCTCTTCGATTTCGACACACTTTTTTCTCCAAATAAAGGACCACCGCGATTGACTGCATTCATAATTTAAAAACATTATCGAAATTAAATTCAAACACTTACTGGGCAGACTTGATTCCGTCAGTATTTTTAACATAAACGACTAATTTAGAATTCTGGCTCACATGCACGGTATGGTAATACATTTTACGTTATTGGATTAATAAAAATTTGTGAGTTAATCAAAAACATACATTAATAAAAACAAATTTAAAAAAAAAAATCGATGAGGGGTAGGTGGACAAATTTTTCGCCAAAATTAAAAAATTTCAAATCATTCTGAAAAAATTATTTGTGATTGCGGGGGTCAATTACAATTATTTGTGGTGAATACATATACCCCCGAAATCCTACGTACTGTCGACAAAAGAAACTCGTTACCGAAAATATAATATGTGACCGTGTTTTTGGCGAAAAAAAAATTTCAAACAATTCTGAAAAAATTGTTTTTAGTTTCAGGGGTCAATTACAATCATTTTTGATGAACAAACACACCCTCGAATTCCTATCCACTTTCGAGAAAAAAATTCCACACCGAAAATAAAATCTGAGGCCTGAAATGGTTCCCCGAAATTTTATGTCTATTATATAAAAAATCATATCTCCTGCATGGATTGGAGGATTTTAATGTTAAGAATGCAAACAACGCGTATTTTGATGAAGATACGCGTAATTGATTCTTGCCGTTAGAGTCGCTAAGAGCGCGAGTTTTCAACATTATCTAACAATATAACAAAGTCAAGTTCGTAACATTCGGTGTTTTCGTAACAAATTTAAAGAAAGTAATAATTTTTTGACAAGTTCCCAGTATTACATGAAATTTAC